CAGAGCACAATCAGCTACTGCTCAGCACTATCACAGGAATACGAGATTTGGGCTACGACCAAATCACCATAGCTGGAGATTTCAATGCTCCATCACTGAACCTCGGCTCCGGGTGTGCTAAGGGAAAATTTGGCCGAAACCTACTGCAAACTATTCGAAACACGGGACTGACTGAGAATGTTGGAGACGACACTAGGTGGGGCCCTAGTGGAAAGTCATCAAAACTAGATTATATTCTAACTAGTGACCAGCTACTCGTCGAAAAGGTCCAGATCATGACTCCTCTGGGAAGCAGTGACCATGCAGTCATAGGTTTCGATCTTGTCCTCCGTGAGCGTTTGCAATGGGATGTTACGCGACCATGTCTGTGCTACAGCAAGGCTGACTATGCTGAAATGCGGAGGCTCTTGTCCGACGCAGACTGGCCCTTAGCATGGGACGACCTATCTGTGGATGAACACTGGGAAGTGGTAAAAAAGATTATCCATACAGCAATCTCGGATACCGTCCCTTTAGTCACAACACAGCCTAAGAGAAAGACGTCATGGTTGAAGAGAGGCACGCAACGTATTCTGCAAGCAAAGCGGAAGGCTTGGTTTACGTGGCGTGTATCTAAGAGTCAGACCGACCATGATGCATACCTCGAACTCAGGAACCGGTGTAATGCAAGAGTTAGGAGGGACAGAAGGTCATTCCAGGCTAACCTTGCTAAAAAACTCCTATCAAACCCTAAAAACTTGTACCGATTCATGTCGGAAAGAAAACCGACAAACCAAGGGGCATGCGCCTTAGTAGGCCCAAACGGTCAATATCTCACTAGTCTGGAGATGGCTGAAACATTCAGTTCAGCCTTCGCTAAACAGCTAAACAGCAATGTGGATATTACAGTTACGGACCAAAATGGTGGCACCACTATTTCAGAGGAGGAAGACCTAGCGACTACTCCCCAAATAAACCCCGCAATAGTACTAAGGAAGCTACAGCGACTCATACCTGGGAAGTCCCCAGGTTGTGATGACATCAGGCCATCTGTTCTGAAACAGTGCGCCGAGGCTCTCTGTAGACCCCTGTGCGACTTGTTCCAACACTCAATGGATTCGGGGACCCTGCCAAGGGAGTGGAAAAGAGCCATCCTTTCTCCAATCTTCAAGGGTGGGGACAGGCAAAACGCTGCTAGCTATAGACCAGTAGCTCTACTCCCAGTGGTATCAAAAGTACTGGAAAGTATTATTGACGACCACATCAGGGAATATTTCGATAGGACTAATATACTACATGAAGCCCAACATGGTTTCAGAAAAGGCAGATCCTGCGTCACTAACCTACTGTCAGCTTGGGACGACTGGACATCATGCTGGGACTTGAACGTACCAGTCCATGTGGTCTTCCTAGACTTTGAGAAGGCATTTGACACTGTTCACCATGACCTTCTCCTACATAAAATAAGCCAGGCAGGCATAGGTGAGCCACTTCTGTCATGGTTGAAGGACTACCTAGCCGACAGGCAATTTTGCACTAAGGTTAACCGAGTCCGATCATCTTGGCACAGATCGTCATCAGGAGTGTCGCAGGGTTCTATCCTAGGACCACTGATGTTTTTGATTTTCATCAATGATCTACCACGCCGTCTGAGCTGCCCGACTCTCCTGTACGCTGACGACGTAAAAATATGGAGGGCGATAAAGTGTCCGGAGGACTCAGATAGGCTACAGGAAGACCTAAACCTTCTGGAAGACTGGGCGGTGGCCAGTGGCATGACTTTCAACTTGAAAAAGTGCAAAGTAGTGAAGTTGCGCACCTGTAGACTGCAGAATGCAAGTTACACCCTGTGCAATGAAAGCTTGTCCTGCACAACGTCGGAACGCGACTTAGGTCTAGTTCTAACGGAAAAAATGGACACAAGCGTAAATTACACAGGGGATGTAGCGAGGGCATATGCGGTCATACACTTTACGCATAGACAGTTAGGTGCACTCACTCCTGAGCTCTTTCTAATGTTGTACAAAACATACGTCAGGCCACACCTTGAGGTGCATAATATTATTGCACCCCCAATGCTGAGAAGAGATGCCAACCTCTTGGAAAGAGTCCAACGACGGGCAACAAAAGGAGTGGTTGGTCTCCGAAACAAACCATATGATGAAAGGCTGAAGAAATTAGGCCTGTTCACACTTAGTTACCGTCGGCTTAGGGGGGATTTGATTACTGCCTACAAAATAACAAATGACCAGAATCACCCAAACAAAGGTGTTCTGCCATTGAGTAGGTATAGGCTTCCACGTGGAAATCCCAGAAGGATAGCTCACCAGAGGGCAAGGACCCGGGTGCGCTCCCACTTCTTTTCACTGCGGGTTTGTCGTCCCTGGAATTCCTTACCGGCAGATGTAGCTATGGCACCGTCTTTGGACGCCTTTAAGCGAAGGCTGGACAACCATGCAGCGATACAAGGACTGCATCCAAATGGCCTATCTCCTTAAAATCGCATTTACCAATCAGGGTAGATAATTAAACTCGTCATTTTACTTCTTTACATTCTCTCCCGTCTTACTCTCCTGACAACTTATTAATATTATAATTACTATTATTATTATTACTATTACCGATATATATATTATTCTTCAAACTTAATGAGCTGACTGTTGTTACGTTTCCTATTTTCGTTTCTGTCTCTTAGTCTGAATAGCTTCACTAATTATATCTATTATTATTATTACTATCTCTTTTCTCTTGTCGACAATACCGAAGGACTAACTGGCGAAAGGATCAACTCCAATCACAGTAGTAACAGTCTTAACATACCTCATACTACAAACCACATATAATTAATCCCAGCACTACTCCCTTTGGAGTCAACCAAAGCTACGACAGTCGAGTGGCGGGACAAGCTACGCAGAAGTTTACCGAAGATCAAGAACCTATACCTCACAATCAAGAAGCGAGCACAAAGAAATCAAATTGGTTTATACTAGCTCGTAAAAACGATATTGGATATTGGATTGGAATGTGATAGGCTATCAGAAGTGTAGTTACACCGGAATAAGCCTAAGGATGACCTCATCAAAGTATTATACTGATCTACTGAGTCTGTCTAGGTTCTGTAGGGTGATAAATGCAGCATCGTCGGGGTTCACATGCTATCATGGACTTATGGTTAGAGACGGTGGGTGATAGGTCTCATAACAGCGTGGCAGATGCTTTCATACTTTCTGTTCGCCTTAAGCGCGAAATCACAATTTAACTGCTTCAGCCTCCGTTTCTTCATTTTACAACACTACGACTGCTTATATTTCCACTTCTTTGCCTTTCTCTAAACTCTAATTCACGTAATATTGATATGGGGATAAAACCTGGGCACTGTGGTAGAGTATAACTCCGTTATGGATGAAATTTATTCTGATAAAAACACAGTATTATACAGTAATAGTTACTGATGACGTTTCGAGCACAAATTACCGCTCACAATCATCAACTTTCTTGCTTCATCTATATACCCGATTGTATGGTTGGGTGTTTATGTATGTAGTTCAATGCTGAGTTTTTTTTCTAAATTACTTATATTCAAGGGGTCAGTCATTCTAACCTTGGCTAAATTCTTATGTTCTGATAATCTCACTACTCCTGATCTACTAGTTTGACCTATTTAGCTGACCTCAAAGTCATCGCAAGATATTTTGTAAATTATACTATTTAGTTTAATTGGGTCTAATTCATGTACAGCTATGACCAGTAAGCAGCTAGGTCCTATACTGATAATGTCAACCCTTCTTTTTGAGTGATTTTGATAACATTTATTTGTATGACTGACTGCGGTACCTTATGGACAAATAGAGATGACTCATTAATACCATGTCACTACAAGCATGTAGGAACGTTGGTGACTATCTTCGCCTGACTAAACTATTTTTTTCAGCCATCTCTGTGCCAGTGAATCACCCTTAGAAAACTTGAGTGTGTTAATCTTAATTTATGGAATCTACATCTGTCTGTTTTCGACATAGAACTTTGCACAAATGTGCGGAAGTTCAAGTCGCCACACTCCGTGTAGCACGCGAAGCAAGAGAAGAAAGTACAAGAAAAGCATAATAGAGACAGTGAGCAGAGGTGTGAGACAAAGTAGTAATAACGAAGAACAAAACAGTTTCATTGGAGATCATAAGTCACAAGGAGTTGATGCATCTGCGTCACTGAGAACGATTTTGAGCCATGTCACCGATTGTTTCCAACCATTGGTTTTTACCGTCCCGGGGACCCCAGCCTGGAAGTCTACACCTTCCTACGTGGCTTAGACCAACTGTTGTGGATTTCATTGACTGGTGCCAAGTTTTTGTTTGACCGCCGCTAGCTTTTTTCCAGCCTGACCCTATGTCCGCTAACATTGCTCGTCGAGGGAGGCGATGGCTTGGCATACGTAACACATGTCCTAACCATCTCAGTCTTTGTAGCTTCACGACTTCGTCGATTGATTTCCCCTGTTTACCTAGAACTCTACGCCTAACCTCCATGTTGCTCACCTTATTATGCCACTTTACACGGGAAATAGAAATGGAATCTACATACTAAATGATAGTCGAAATATTAGGTTTGTTCTCAGTTGATGGTTATTTACCGTAATAAACAATTTTTCGGGAAAATATGGTGTAGAGCAATGCAGACGGGATGTTTTCTCACAGCGTAATAAGGAGATTAAAGTTCAATAGAAATCATAAGGGGGTAGAGAATGCTCATATACCGCCCATATTAAATGAATTATCATGAAAAGCTCAAGGTAAGCTTAAATTCCCAAACATCTGATATTTCTAGAATATTAGCATTAAACCTAGGAAACCTTTGTAGTACACTTAAGACTTGAGAGTGACAAACAAATAAACAGGACTTATGGAAAGGTTAAACTCAAAATCATGAGGAACTTTTCCAATGATCCACGACACCATTACCATATGACCGTAATGTAGTGGGAACCAAAATCAAGTATAAATTCGAACAGTGTGTTCAGTACTTACTGGTAGCTGAAACCGAACCGCAGTTTCAATAAACGTTTTTGAATAGTCCAAATATTTTTCAGGTGAATCTGACCTAAAACAAACAGAAAACGTCGTGCAGTCGTTTATAGGGAACTCGAAATGTGTTCATAAATGTCTTAATCATAAATTTAACAACTATTCGAAAAGACACAGAAACTTACCTAGATGATTTGTTAATGAGCACTGAACATGCTTTTAGTAGAATATTAGCATTTTTATCAGGACTTCTCTTGACTTCACTGTAAAGACCCTGACGACAAAAAAAAATTTACTAAGGTACAAATAGCTACTCAAAAAATTAGGCAAATAATAGCTTTATCAGCAGTAAATCATTTTACTAACACATACGACGTTAAAATAATATTCATATAACAATCGAGGTAGTGTTCTAAGGAAAATACAACCAAAAATAAATTATAGTAAATGTTCAAGGAATTAACGCTGGTTAATACAATGTAACGCCATAACTTCATTTTTTAGGTGAACAACAATAATGAAATACAAATGGATGTTTCGAAATATTTCTAAGAAATGAATTAATTCTGTATAAAACCAATAAGTCTAATTGCATATCAGTATGCAAAATCTACGTAACCACGTGGAAGATAATAAATGAAAAATAATGGCAAAATAAAAAAACATACTTTGCGACAGTCGCACACCTTAGCATTACCTTAAATTTACGTACATGCAGCATAACATCCAATATATTTATCTGCTTGACAGTTTTCCGTGTATCTAGTTAAATAATACTTTTCCTACAAACTTTATTTCCAATTATAGGCAAGATATCTGGGTTTATAAAAGCTGTCATCTTGGTTCATTTGAAAGGTCATGCCTACATGTACATCGATAAGAGAAGAATTCTGAATTCCTGACAAATTAGTCGAAAGTCACTTCTACACCAAGTGCCTGCGATTCACAAAAAATCTAATGACACGCATTTGCACACACTGTAAATGATGTGATTCCTGTATTCACTACGTAAAACCTCCACACCACTAGGACAGAAGATGAAGAAAACCAAGGTAAACTGCGTATTCTACAACTGGTAAACCAGTGCCGTGATTATTGGTACTACTTGAAGAAATATTACACCTAACTTAAGTACTGGTTTACAGGGCCCTGGGTTTGAACCCCAGTTGGTGCATGCTGCTTAATTTGCATACCTGGTAAAGTATTTTAGACTTCAAACTAGGCAAGATCAAGCATAAGAATGTCGACATTAACATATGACACGACTGCAAAACCGTCTCAAGATTCAGTAACTGCAATTAGTGTTAAAGCTCAAAGATTAGTTTGACGAGCGAAAAGGCCATGCCTTACTGCATGTTAGGCCTTAAGTGTTTGAAGATTCCGGAAAACAAATTAAGAATAATTTTAGGGCAGTTTAGAGTGAAAATTTAGGATAGATGCAACCAGATATAGCCATTTCCCGCAAATGACAAGGCAAATCCATTATCTTCCGAAATTCCTCGAAGTTTCCCTATCCCAAACTGAAAAATACATAACTTCGCCTCCCTTCCAAAACAAATCTTCACACATGTGGAGTTTTCGGGGACACTCGACGTTTTCCCTCAAAAAGACCACAGCTACTCTTCGCGTTCTCTAAAAAGATGCCTCTGAATCTTCACAATAAACTCCTAAATTTCTTTTAAAATCTCCACACTTGCAGACGTTGCCCCACAATTGTGATAGAACTGATAAAGGAAACTTACAAACCAAGCTTGAGTATTCTCTGGATCAATCTCCAAGGCTGACAAGTAAGATTCTATCGCTTCTTCATGATATTCCAATCGAGAGCAAGAAGCTCCTTTCAATATTAATATGCCGTAATCAAGTGAATTCCGCAAAATTTCCTGCATATAGGATATAATATATGTCAAAAACTTTCACCTTAGCGATTTCATAGCACTCTTGATACTTTCCATTCTTGTAGAGCTCTTTCGCCTGCTTAAATTGTTGACTCATACGGACAGACTCTAAAATGTCCTACGATCCAGGTAAAATATGGTTGTTTACAAACGCTGCGTAATTTCGGCGTAATTTCGTGTGACCGCGAATGACATAAACAACTGGTGTTGCTTTCGATTTGTCAGATTCAGATATATTGGTTGAGGGTAAAAGGCTTACTGCATATGTTAATCCTTTTCTAATAAATTTCTGCGCTTCTTCAAAGCCTTTTCGAATCAGTAAATTTAGGACGCTGAAACCACTTCTTCTGGGAGCCGGTTCCAGAAGTTTATGACTCGGTGTGAGAGACAGTACTCCGCAGCGATATGGTTCCTCCTTGACTTTTGAACTTTCCTGCTGTGTCTTCTGAAGTGTTATGATCTGGTGGGTAGGGAAAGAGGAGATAGATCAGGTTCGTAGTCATTATTTTAAACATTGTAATGAAGTCTACTCTGCCTACGATATGACAGGGAGAAGACATTCACACTGTCTGATCTTTCAACGTATGAAAAATTGGTCATGCCGAGAATCACACGTGTTGTCTTCCTTCGAACCCTCTCTAGAATGTGTGAGTCCCCCTTAAGACAAGGACTAGCTGTCTGGTGCAGTTTTCCAGTCTAGACATATCTCTGGTGATTCCAGTAAACCCTCTGAGTATTGCCGATAGAGATCTGTAACTATGATCTTCCACCATGCGACAGTGTGCTTTAGTTTTCAAGTTGTGATTTATTATGACACCTAGATCGTTTGAGTCTGAACTGGTGGGAATGTTACTCCCTGTAGTTCGTATCAACTGACACTTGTGTGTCCAACTCGCATGGTCGCGCATTTTGTTTCGTTGGTCGACGGGGAGGATATAGGCTATAATCTGTTACATTTTATGCGCCTTAGGATTTCTCGTCCTTCATTGGCTAGAATAGTGGCGGTCAGTTGGATTTTCAATTTGTCCTCGGTAGGTGCTATCGTGTGTGGTTTTTTGTGATTGTGTTATGCACCGTTTGTAAGCATTTCTGGCAAACATAGGTGTAACATTTGACTATTCTAACATTGTTTCACATTTTTTACACAGATACATTGATCTTTTACACATAAACTCCCTTGAAACTGGTCAGGCATTATGGTGGCTATCAGTGGCTACCATTCGGTGGGTCCCAATGCATTTCTTGAGTTGTGGTTATACCTACAGTATTTCCTACTTCGATATTGATCACTCATAGTCTGGTATCCTGTGTTTCTAGCGAATAAACTGTGACAACGTGTGGAAATAATGTTGTCAGCCACGTCTCATAAACAGGTAATGCCCAGCTCTTGCTGCACTAGGGCTCACGCTGTTCCTTGAAGTTTCTCAGAAACGCTTAGTAATAACGGACGAAACAACCAAAGCACCAATCGGCCACTCGAGGATTCTTTATTGTAACACCAACATATAAACAATGTTACAACTAAGGTCGGGGAACAAATATTACAATAATGAATCACAATATTACTTCTGACAGTTGCCTATTGACCTCTTTCTGAACAGCGACCGATGAGACGATGACTGTCGTATTGATGCCTCCGCGAAAATTGGGGAAGTTGGTTTTGAGCGAACAACCATGAATTGATCGTTCAATCTTCAACTGCATTGACACTCCCCGGCAAAATACCGATCCATCCCTTTTTTCCATGACGACCAATACACGTGGACTTGGATGCCAGTGAGAGAACCTGGGTCACACGGACAGAGCTGAAGTGGAAAACAAACAGAAAAGCCGACACACCACAAGCATACTCACAGCACAATCTCACACATCGATGACGACCTGCGCCTCCAGATGAAGCTATCCTCTTGACATCTTGCAACACAACCGCCACTTGCTAGAATGACTCTTGCAGAATGCAACGTGACCATAGCACCACCTCACGATACTCTACGCTCATCCTCTTATCTACTCACTACCAATTACCACTGAAATCGCTTGTCACTCATTCTGCCTCAGTTCAAGTAACGGTGACGTATGCGAGCTTCAGTCGTTTACACTCACGTTCCATGGCGTGTGGGACCGCAGCTAACAATTATCTCCCTATGCATTTCGTTCTCAGCAATAGCCTAGCCTCCCCGGCGTATACGACCCATCTGCTGTCCTTAGCATCAATCAATTCATTCACGGACGTAGAAGACTCGAAACAACTTCAGAAGTAATCACGACGAAAATTTTAACAAAATTACGCAATAACAACAGGATACGAAAACAACAAGTAAACACAATGAATCCAAAAGCACCAATTGATATGACACACCACACGTATACACAAACAGTACACACAAACTCGCAGTTCATGTCTTGATGGAATTCCTTTGAAGAATCGCAGGACTTACACCAGTAAGCCTACAACCCTTCACAGGTTGACGATTGTAAGTTGTGGAATGTCCGGACACAAACAAGAGCAACCAACAATTACAATAATTGGAACTCACACAATTATTTAACACAAACATATGTACAATCAACACATCAAAGTGGTGGATACTGCCTTGACGAACTACAAATGAAGAACTGTAGGACTTACAGCAGTACGCCTACAACCCTTCTCAGGTTGACTCCCTAGTTTGGAAAATTGTCGAAGAGCTCATTTGCTGACATCACGCTATCAGTTATATCCTCAAATCTGAACGATAACACACTCATGTCATTGTATCGTAGAATATAGATGACCAACAAACATATGACTTATCTGGTCAAACAAGCGTAGAAACAGAGTAATTTACACCAAAGACAATAGCATTCAAATAGTAACTTGAAACTAGAAATGCCTTTATTCGTGCAAGTCAATTTAACAATTACTCTCTCACACAATCGTGGCTTATCCTCTCTAAACTGAGCAATATCTTTCGTCTTTTCAAACGCACCAATACTATCATAGTCCTTGCACGAGATACTTGAGTTGATGGGCGTCTGTTTCACTGTGGATGACAACACCAACGACGACTGATTGATACCAGTTGGCGAACTTTGCAGTGGATCAGAAGCTGTGGTTGTTCGGCTTTCAGATAGTTGTCTAACTGCAAGATTGCCACCACTGCTGTCTTTCACTACTAGTTCGGGTTTAGCACTATCATCTGATGATAGGTGGGCTACACGCTGATCAATTACACTGACGATCTCACAAGTATTCATACCTTCTGCAACTGCATCTGCATTTAATTCTACTTCACGTTCAAGTTGTACAGAACCCTTGTTCAACTTAGCAGTAGTAGGCATTCCCCTCATTTCATCATGATCAACCAAAGACAAATGTGCACTATCATGATCATTATCACAAATATTCAATTTACCATCATCTATCTGGTCGACTTCATCATTTTCAAACTCCTTAATAACAGCAGTAGACAATATTGGTTCCTCCTCACAAATCATTAGAGGTTTTATATCTTCACTCTGACTAGTAATACCTTGTAAACTTGTAGAGTCAGAACTGTCCTCTGAGACTGTAACTCTCTTCTGTGGCATACTATTAAACAATGGCTTACTAGTTGCAACTGCAGACTTCTTCACCGCACCGTTATCGTCACACAATTCGGAGTCAGGCCTGGAGTTTACATTTAGCTTATCACTGAACTTGCTCACTGATTCACAGTTCACCTTTGTGTGCACCTCTTGCAAACGTGTAAAACACAACCGTGCTTGTCTTGCATCTTGTAACTTATCTGTTGAGGATGTACTACGAAACCTGTTACACTCACTGGGTCTATATGCATTACTAGACACCATGGAGCCTTCTCGATATCCACCTCTTTGAGACCATTTCGTCATCAATGATTGCGTTTCGCCCTCATTCTGCCCTATTCTAGGGGTGAGATTCAATATACTGGCAAACTTGCTGACAGCTTGATTGACACCATCGTTCACCAGTTACAGAATATTATCGAAATTTGGCTCAATACCCTCATCCTCCATACGGGAGCTTATCTTCACCCACCTCCTTCGCATTCGAGTGGGTAGGCGTCTTTCTATTACTTCTAGTATAAAACTCGAGTTGAGGTCACTCATGCAATTTATCGAAATCAGTGCATTCTTGTAAGTGAACACATTATTCAAATACTCAGTGAGTGCCCCGGAGCCAACTTGTAATTGACCACCATTACCCTTAACAGCCTCGAGTAATTTCCCGACAATCATCGAAGGTCTTCCAAACCTTTGACGTAATATGCTCATAGCCTCGTAGTAGCCCTCTTTTGGCTTCATAAACTTACAACACTGTATAGCTCTTGCAGCAATTCCAGTGCAATACCTCACCAAATACGTTAACTTCATCTCATCAGTTAATCAAAGGCCACTTAACACGAATTCGAATTCCATAAGAAACTGTAAATAATCAGCTGGGTTTCCGTCGAAACACCGTGGTTCAAATTTAGGGAGTTTGATGTTCCTATTATCCCTGGACGGCGGAACAGTAACATCAACCATGTCATGCTTAACATCAGACACATCGTCACAAGTGACAGACAAGTCACAATGACTTACTTTCCTGTTTGCATCCAAGACTCTCTGTCCCTTCTTTGACCCAGGCATTGTTGAACTTGACCCAATTCCAAAATAGTTCCAGATAACGCTTGTTCGAAGAGGACTTGACCGGCACCAGGAAAGATGAACGGTGTCTATTTTAACTGTCACCAACGGTCCAAAACCGTTGAAAACTGACTTAACTGTCAGAAACTGTCAGCCACATCTCGTAAACCGTTAATGCCCAGCTCTTGCTGCACTCGGGCCCACGCTGTTCCTTGCAGTTTTTCAGAAACGCTTAGTAATAACGGACGAAAAAGCTAAAAGACCGATTGGCCACTCGAGGATTCTTTATTGTAGCTCCAACATATAGCCAACTTTAAAATTAAGCTTTAAATCTGAGGTCTATGAACAAATATTACAATAACAAATCACAATATTACTTCTCACGGTTGCCTATTGACTTCTTTTTGAACAGCGACCGATGAGACGATGACTGTCGTATTGATGCCTCCGCGAAAATTGGGGAAGTTG